GTTTTGCAGGTGTTTTGCAGCTGGAAGGCAAATATTTTTGTCTTTATTAGTGAAAAAATTTTAAGCCAGACTCTGCCAGCTCCTAACCAATTTAAGCACCGGCTGTCATATGTTCCTTCTCATGTATTTTCAAGGAATGTATTGATTTTGTTCCGTGTGAGTGAGTGCCATTTAGATTCGTGTTGCACAATCATTTTGTCTGCGTATCAAATTCTGCTCAGAGTAGATGGGAGCCATTATTCAATTTCACTAAAGCTAGCATTTTGCTGTACAAAGCACAAGCTCACATATCAGCTGATTTTGAAGTTCAAGTGAGGCATGGAAACCAAATTAAAATGTTGGACGCAGAACAAGAACAAACTGGCACAGTAGACTTTATTAGTTTTTGTTTATGAGTTATTCTCTTGTTAATATCCTATATGAAGTTCTTACTATTTTTTAATCTCACACACATTGGTTCTATTTGCACACACGTTTTTGCCAGTTGGTCATTTGTTTGTCTTCATTTACTCTCCATCTAAAACCATTCTCTCCCCAAGCATCAGGACACTCTGCTTTGTCTTTATTTCTTTGACAGTAGAAACCTAATTGCCCGCTATCTTTTGCCTCCTCCCCTCCTCCTTTTTTTTCTCTTTGCTCTCCTCTCTCTCGCCCTGTTTTGTCTGTAGAAGTGTGACTGCCTGCTCAGCCTGGAAGCCTATTCGGCAGACCAGAAGCGCCGTGTGTGTCAGTGCCTGAAGGACAACATTGACAAGCAGCTCCAGCTTCACAGGAGGGAGGCTAGCGTTCCGCATTTCGAACAGGTAGGACTCACGGACACACACATCCAGATCCATTTCCATTGCGAGGCCAACGCTGAAGCAGCAAACACATGAACACATGGGAATGCATATATTTGTTCCTATCACCCATCGCAGATGCCTTGTGAACATCACCCACTTCAAAGCATACACGGTGTCAGTGACAACACACACTTTGCTGCAGCTTATTTTAAACTATTACACACACACATGGTAGCTCTTACATTTCTTCAGGCAAGTTTATTATTTTTTTTACTTGGCTCCACTGAAGTGGTTACTTTGCTTTAGTTCATTTAAGTCTGTTCAGGCTCAGCTCAGGCGGTAAGATTAAATATTTGCAAGCAAAAGCAGACAGTTTGGTGATGTACTTAAAAACCACCACAGTGAACTGAAACATTAATACTTTTAATTATAATGTGTGTCGTGTGTTTTCTCTGTGTGCTCTTTGATCAGTGCTGTGGTGACAGTGATGACTTAATCTAACAACAGAATTAGATAAAACCTAATCTGAGGAATTTGTTTTAGATTTTCATTGACACACTTCTGTTCATGGTCAGCTTTCAGATTTCACAGTACAAAGGACCATGTTGGTACCAGGATTTTTATCTTGAACACAATGCATTTGGATAAGGATGTGCAAGTGAATTTAGTCCTAATAATTTCATGGTTACTCCCTTTACAGTGCCCAGCAGGTCATCAAATAGTTACTTATTCATTCATCCACGGATAAAGATTGACACTGGCTTTTGTTGTGAGTTGTTTATGTTCCAGTTTGTCATTTCGCTCCTCTTTTAGTTCTGTTTTGGTCTCAAAAGTCACAGGCTTGAATATTCATCCAGCACAAAGAAGGACTCTGAGCTGCTCACAGAATAGAGAGTAGCAAGGATTCATGTGACGACATCAGTCTTTTTCATATTTCACATGGATGCATTTCCATTACAAGCATTTTAAGCTCCTTCCTGCTCTTCACTTCTGCAGATCTGTTACACGTTTTGGTAAGGGTCAGGGGAATAAAAAGAATTTTATCTGCATCGAATTTTCTACTCTACGCTGTGGTAGCTATTCAGGCCAAAGTTTATAAATGTTGTTGCACGCTGTTTTTGAAACTGATGGTCCTCACAGCGTTTACTGACACTGACAGAATCACCTCCCACATTGGATTGTAAAAGTGAGACTGCAGAGCGGAATCTGTTTTCAACTAAAGGCAACATTTTTTTCCCCTACACTAAAACAAAAAACAAACAAAAAAGAGTAATTTTTAGGTCTCTAGTTGACTTTAGTTTAGTTTCTTTAAAACTGAGAGCTCCTACGAGCTGCAAAAAGTCCCAACTGTACTCTGGGGTCAGATTTTGCCCAGTTTGTTCTGGTCTGAGTTGATAGCCATCTAATGCAACATTCATTGGACTTTAAAATCAAATACATAACCTTTGATTTTTGTTCCATAGCTGATTTGAAAGTACTGCCTTGACTTTGACTGCCCTGATTTAAGGGAAGCTGTTTGGCAGCTGTGAGAGAATTTATAGCGTCCCAAATTGGTCATTTCAAGAAGTACCCAGGGAAATTTACTCAAAATGATTTTTTTTGTTTTCTTCTCTTCTTTTCTAGTTCCTTATGGGCACAGTTTTTAAAGATAAAGTAATAATTGATCATAACTCTCGACCTTAGTGTTCTGTGGGGTAGTTTTTATTAATATAAAATTTTCTTTTTTAGCACTGGTCCAGATTCTTGCTCGTTTTGAATGCTTCTTTTGTTTCATAACTTTTTGTCTTTCATATTTAATGAGCAACAAAAACATCCCTTTTATTTCTTTTGAGTTTAGCTAAAAGGTGAATCAAAGGGAAACATAGCCTTGTAAATGGCACACCTGTTCAACATTAGGGCTTCATTTCATCCATGCATTAAAGAGAAAACAAAAGAGCCAGTTGTCTTTCATTCTTTCCTACCTGCTTTTCCCTCTATTTATTTATTCATATATTGTATATTTGTGTACATACAGTTATTATTGTATTTTCAATTCGTCTTTTAAGATTCAGACCTTATTTAAATACTTTGCAGTGGTTGAACTACTTTGAGGTACAGTTTCTGAACTTTGCCCAGGAGTGTGCTCGAATAGATTGTAGTATTTCACAGCAACATGGCGGTTGTTTGGGTGCTGGTTTTGCTTGTGTCCACCCATGATCATTATCAGTTATGTGCACCCAAATGAAATAAAAATGAAACCCCTGACACACGCAGGCACAGTGTTCAATGTGATCAATAACCAAAGAACGTGGTGAGCATGCTGAGTCACACAACTCAATGCTGTTTAACTGGTGTTTAACAAACTTTATTGACAAATCAGTTTACGTTTCAGCACAGACATGTTACACAAACCCCCTCAGTTTATTACTTTGTCTGTTGAAGAGCTTATATGGTCTGACCTTTTTTCCCCTGTGGAACATAAACACAAATAAATTCTATTTCAGGGCAAAGTTTAATTTTACTTAAATGTACAAAGATGTAGATTGATTATTTGTCAACAGGATGACAGCAGTCAAGACGCTGAGGGTTGATTGATGGATGTTTGTGTATTTTCATCTGCAGCAGGACCAGAACAAAAGGACTGATTTTAAAGTTACAGTGCAGCAAAAGTTTCAGAGCTCATTCATACAGAGTGGAACAATTTTAGAAAGTATTTTGAATGGAAGGTCTGAAATTTTGGCTAAACTACAACACTATGTTAACATCAGATTAAAATGCACGCCTTTTTAGATTACCAAATTCAGATTACGGCATAAACCACCCCTCTCATTTGGCTTATAAATTCATTTCAATCAAGCTGCATTAGATCAGAATATTCTGATTATGGAGTGTACATGACATATTTTATAACAATTGGCTGTTTTATTCAGGTTACTTAAGCCCGTGTAAATGTAGCTACCAAAGTTGTGGAAACCTCCAGAGAGCTAATGGTCATCACCAGCCTTGTTCACATGCTCTGTAAGATGTTTTAGAAGCTCAGACAGAAAACAAAAATATAAACTAGAAAATAACTTCACTTTAATTACTTTGGCAATCAGTAGAAACAGATTTCCTCTTGAAAACGTAATGTTATGCATATAACTACTGTTCCCTGAAGGAAAGGAACGAGGTACAACATCATGTATGGGAACCACGCCCCTGCGTGTC